CGTGTTTTGGGGGGGTCCAGGGAGTCCGGACCCCCCCTTGCTCGCGCAGAAAACGCATCTGAGGGGGTGTAATTTTAAAAATTTTCTGGGGGAGGGCCCAGAACCCCCCTTCGCGTGCTCGCAACTATGGGTTACGGTTAGACCCCCCTGGTACAAATCCTGTACACGCCCCTGCCGAGCAAATTGCCAACATTGAAAAACGAACCCCCCTCCCCAATAGAAAGCTGGCTACGGGCCTGCGAAGGGATTGCACGGAGATTAATCTACATATTGGTGACCCTATATTAATAACTCATGGGCAGTGGCAGTCGCTCTATAACCAGTGTTGCACATGAATGCTGCGAAACTGTAGTATAAAGGGCTAAAGGTAAATAAAGTGCAACCATTCAAGCATACAACACTAGCGCATTGCATCTAAACGAACAGGGCGTTATGTTTACGCTCGATAAAAACTATAAAAATGCAATAAATCTGTTAACGGCCCATATACTGAGCGCTGAGTTTAAGAGAGCAGAACCCATTACGACCACTGTGAGGGGTAATATGGAGAATCATATCAATAGTAAATTTTCCAATGGCTTATTCTAGATCTCATACGCATGCACACAGGCGTACGCACGCGCGCACGCATGCACGTACACACATACGCACGCACGCACACACACACGCACACACGCGCACGCACACACACACGCACACACGCGCACGCACACACACACGCACGCATTCACATGTATGTAACTGTATTGCCAGAACTAGCTTATACAATACGTTCTTACAACCAATAGAGTATCAACTATATATGCTATACACCTACAAGTTGTATGATCTTCTTCTTTTTCACAATTTACACATTCACAATTTGCGATTGTCTACTAACAGGTATGGCGCTACAGCCGACGACAACGCTTCTCAATATACGACATTGAAGCCGAGTAGGTGTATAATTAGACTGGTGCATTTTAAATGTGTAAGGCCGAGCCATTGCCGCGGGGCAGTAATATATGTTCTCCCCCATCTAATTATAAAACCGTCGATGCCGAAGTGTATCTTCTATATATATAAAGTTGTTCAGCCGAATTAGTTCGTATTTTCAGAATCAGCACGTATGGAAGGTGGTTCTGGCTGAAACAAAAATTTAAAAAAGTAAAAAATTCATAAAAATTCTATTCATCAATAGATGGCGGTGCGTACAGATTAATATCACGTACGTGTGAATCCATGGGTATACCCTTAACAGCGCAGTGGCCTAATCGCTAGAACATCCGTCTCCTACACCGGGATTCCGGGTTCGAGTCCCAGCTGGGGAACTTATTTTCCCATTTTTTCCCTTTACCTACCTCTTTAGTTTGTATTATTTTTTACTTTTTACTTTTTATTTTTTACATTTAATGTCTTTTATCTTTTTATTTCTTATTATTTTTTACTGTTTGGGATGAGATGAGATGGCATGCGATGGCATGGGATGGGATGGGGTGCGGTGCGATGGGATGCGGTGCGATGGGATGGGATGGGATGGGATGGGATGGGATGGGATGGCATGGAATGGGATGGATGGATGGATGCATGGATGGATGCATGGATAGATAGATAGTTAGATTTTTTGGGCATTTTCCTTTCAACCAAGCGGTCACCAACTGAGTAACGCCACTGATTTCCCCGGCCAACGCCGGGTATCCCGCTAGTGCGATATAACGTGATGAAATACAAAGTACACAGCGAGTCAAGATCTGATGAATCGTTTCCATATACTGCATGGATATGGCAATTGATGGATATTACCGACATAAACACACACGATTACGTTTATTCGGCGTCGTTGGTCTTCCGCAGGATTTTGAAAGATATCTACATAAATTCATCAGACAGGCACGTGAAATTGCAGTACTGCGGCTGGGGACCAGTAGGCCACAGCATTGTAAGTGCACACCGTGATGAGATTTTCGAATGCCTCCTGCATAGCGCATGCGCAGTGGTTCACAATTCCAGACATGTTCATGTTGAGGAGTCATGCCTCTATTTGATATCTATATTCAATGAAGGATGTTGCTGTTTGACATGCAGTTGATGTATGTACTTATTTCATAAACACTATGCATATGTCAAACAATCACACATTCACTCATGTATGCGCAATAGTCACACACAAATATTGAATCGAGCGGCTCAACTGAGTGGAACAACCACGTCGACTATACACAAACAATGCATACCTCCCAATATATTACTAATTGACCGCTTGGCACAGTAACACTAATGATTCTATGTCGCTATGCAAGGTGATAATTAATTCTGATTAGAATAACGAGGTGGATTCTCGGTTGTCTTACCAGGTGATGGTGCATGATAACGATATCTATTACAAAGAAAATGCGTGGAGCACAATGAAACCATTTCGAATAACGTACAGGGGAGAGCCAGGCGTAATATTTAATGGCATCCCCGACTGGCTTTATGAAGGTATGCCTTTGCTATTTGCACGCATTGTTTGTATGTACCTTTAATTGATAAATGATTATATAATGTTGTAGATAAGATTAGAAAGAACTAGGGTAAACAAAAAAACACTTTAGGTAAAATGTTAGATTTAACATAAAAAGTGCCCTTATACGCACATACTAGGTATGTATATAGTGAAAGTGCAAAAAATATTAACAAGTAAATGCAATAATAATATTCTAATCTATCTATCTATATATCTATCTATCTACCTATCTGTCTATCTATCTATCTATCTATCTATCTATCTATCTATCTATCTATCTATCTATCTATCTATCTATATATCTATATATCTATCTATCTATCTATCTATCTATCTATCTATCTATCTATCTATCTATCTATCTGTTTATCTCTCTCTCTCTCTCTCTCTCTCTCTCTCTCTCTCTCTCTCTCTCTCTCTCTCTCTCTCTCTCTCTCTTCTCTCTCTCTCTCCTCTCTCTCCTCTCTCTCTCTCTCTATATATATATATAATATATAATATATATATTATATATATCTAACTATCGAACTACCTATCTATCTATCTATCTATCTATCTATCTATTCTCGCTCTCTCTCTCTTCTCTCTCTCTCTTTCTTTCTCTCTTTTCTCTCTCTCTCTCTCTCTCTCTTCACTATATATATATATATATATATATATATATATATATATCAATCTATCTAACTATCGAACTATTTATTAGCTATTATCTATTATCTATCTATCTATCTATCTATTATCTATCTATATATAATATAACACGCACACACACACACGAGCCGCACACAGCTCACGCACGCACGCACTATATATATATATATATATATATATTATTATTATATACGTAGAGTAAGTAATACGTACCGTACTTACTACCTACTTACGTTACTTACTACTACTACTCTATATATATATATATATATATATATATATATATATATATATATATATGTATATATAATCGATGACATCATTTGGTATATATCCAATTTCTTCTTACAACCCTCATCTTTATCTCGTCTCTCATTGCGTGTGAGGACGGCTCGCAAACGCAACGAGGTACCAAACGTATTCATTAACACACGCATACGCGCTCAAGCTATTCATGACCGCTGACGATAGCTAGGCATCTAATTAGACATCTATACATTTTACAGAGGAAATGTTGAACAGTCACGTGGCGCTTTGGTGGTCACCGAGTGGCCACAGGCTGTGCTATGCAACGTTTAACGACACGAACGTGAAATCCTTTTACTTGCCCGAGTATGGAGAAGGAAAGGATCACTACACTACTCTCAGAGACCTGCGATATCCAAAGGTACTTAAATGGATCATGTTCATTTGCTAGTGTTTTTCATTTGAGGACGCTGTCGCACTACTGCGTGTCTCAGCACAAACGAGATGAAGGGGAAATGAATGCGTAATGCTCGTCTGTTTTTTTCCGTGATATTCCTGGCAAGGCTGGCGATACGAATCCAACGTTCATTCTCAACGTGCTGGACGTCAGGAACCCGTACACAGTGTCGGTATTGAGACCACCGATCGAGATGACAACGCACGGGTAAGTACACCGTCAGCTGTCATCTTCGCATGATAGAAATGTGGAACAGTCCTAGCTGTTTTAGGAATCGATGAGCGTAAAGGACGGTAGATGGAGCGGCAGTCGTAACGATAATTACCTCACCGTAAATACTATACTATTATTGTTTAGTAAATATAAAAAGCAAGTTATGATCTCGTTCCGTCTCTATAGTAATATCAATTGCTGTGTTTTACTTCCAATTTTGTCACTCCGCTCAATATAAACAAACAGTTACTATACTCATACATATCTCATATATATATATATATATATATATATATATATATATATATATCACATAGCGTGCAATTTGTTGCAGCCAGTAAGTGTAATTGCGTAGACGAGATGTATTTTTTAGCTAATTGAGAAGCAAGATTATCGACAGAGAGTTTTAGAGGCTGTGTTTAGTGCCATTAATAATTACTTTGTATGTAAGAAAATTTACCAGAAAGGGTCTACAAAAAAGGAGCCTTGTAAGCCCCCGTGACGTAGCTATAGTGCAATTAGTGTTGCGCGAGTACAGCCTCGATACGCGTGCGGGTGACCCCATCTCACGTTTTTATTATCGGGGGTTTACTTATGAGAAGCAATCACCGTCTCCTAGCTGGCAATGATTGATACCGGGGTTTAGTTTACCTCACGTTAGCTGCTGTATAGTTGCTGATATAGAGGGGACGTCTAGCCTTATGAGCATAGCGCAATCGACCGCCTAGGAGGATGTCGTGAGCAAGTACGCCGTATTCGCTGAAAATATATGAAGTCATAGCTGAAATAAAATAAAAATTGGGCTCTCCCTAGCAAACGGCTATACTTGCAGTAGTAATATATATATTTGTGTGTGTGTGTGTGTGTGTGTGTGTGCGTGCGTGCGTGCGTGCGTGCGTGCGTGCGTGTGTGTGCGCGCGTGCGCGTGCGTGCGTGTGCGTGCGTGCGTACGTGCGTGCTTTCGTGCGTGCGTGTGTGTATGTGTAAAATACAGAGATCTGCAGATACCGAGATTGCATCTATACAAGATGCAGTATTCATCACGAACACGTAAAACATACTATGCACACAGCCTGATACGTGGGTAGAATGTTCGCTTTTCACACAAATACAGACCACATGAACTCGTTAAATTGGCGCCCATGCAGGTTAAGTGTAGACTGGTTGGCTCATTTACCGATATGTCGCTCCATTTCACCATAAATTACCTCTCGCGCTCCCCTGCTTAGCACTCGAGCGATTTTTTAAAGAGATGCCGTAAAAGGGTTGCCTGCCATAAAATTAATATCACCGCTGTATTGCGCCATTTGGTGAGCGAGCGTAGTAATACTGCCGTGTCGCATGCACAGCGTCCAATCGCTTCACACAATATTAACGGTTTGAATAAAAGATGGTTATGCCCCGTTACTTTGAGCATTTATGAGGTAGGCATAACTAAAATAACTTTATATTATTATTTACATAAATTGCCAATTAAAATTACTAGGTTGTAGGCTTTTAATCTGCATATCGACAGTGTAGTAAATAAAGTACTCTCGACACAATATATGTTAAGAAACTATTTATATATTTTAAAATGTGGTTTTTATTTTATGGTGATATTACACATTATTTGTAAAAGATAGAATAAAGCACCATGCACTGGACGTTTTATCCATACAATAAGCGGATGTATGCGTCGGGCATGCTCCAATTTCCGAAAAAAACGCAAAATAAATAGTATGCTACGAATTATAATGCCGAATACCAAAACCAACCTTTAGGAAAACATCTAACGCTATCACGGCTATCAACTAACAGTGTCGCAGATCCCCGTCTGTCATCAGCTTCTCGTGCGTGTTCGGACGAATAGTTCTTTTTCGCCCCGACCTTTTCAGAACACGGTTTTTGTAAAGTTATTTCAGAGAAGGCCAGCCGTGGCTAACAAAATAGATGGAATCGTTGAGCCACGTGTACATGCAACGTAAAGCACTATATAGCGTCTGTCAAAATCGTATTAGTCTTGAAAGTGAGGTCATTATAATTAACTCGAATTTTCTCATGTGTCACGGAAATGACCGAGTCCTGAGTGAGATGGACTGAATGCTAGGCAAACGTCTGCCTTTCGTAATATAGAATTGTCTTTTTTAAGTTTCGCCGACTTGCTTTACCTTTGCGAGAGTCCGTCAAGCGTTGTCCTTGGTTTGCACATAGGATAGGTTCATAGAAGTAATCGTCTTACGCCAAATTGCGTTAATCAATATCGTTAAAACATGCATAAAGTATATATATATATATATATACGGTCAGAGCTTGTAGAGAGCGAATAATAATTAATAGTATAATAAAGAGACAATGTAAGCAACCCGTCACAAAATCGTGTAAATGCAATCTACGCATGAAATGCGATCGAATGCCAGGCGTGTGCACACCGCAGGACGACCAAAGCCCGCCGCGGAACATATCGTAGCAATTGACTGACGTTGGTCTAATTATACTTGCCTATTTAATGAATGTCTGTTTCAGAGACTTTTACTTCACCCGAATAAAATTTATCGACGACAACAGAGTGGCGGTTATATTTCAAACCCGATCGCAGAACTATTCGGTCATCAGCGTGTGCAACATCGCGCCGTATGGACAGTGCGCAACCGTACGTATGTCTCGGTTATACTACGCTCCTTATTATCTTCCCCACGTCCCGTAATATTCACAAATTTCACTGGGCATTACTCTAATAGCAAACACTGGGCGGGACCAAAGTTATTGCGCGCGCAAACGCGCACACACAAATGCACGCACGAACGTACACACGTACGCACGTGGGCGGGACCAAAGTTATTGCGCGCGCAAACGCGCACACACAAATGCACGCACGAACGTACACACGTACGCATGCACGCTCGCACGGACACACGCACGCATGCACGCACGCACACACGTACACATTTTTCTGCACATACGTCCAAACACTAAATCAGTCATGATACAGATCGTGCGGCTAAATGTGTACGCAATATCGGTACCGTGTTTACTCAGTAGGTACATGGTAAGATAGCATCATAGCACTACTCTTGGTCGATATGTTATTGTTATAGTGTCCAATTGCTTATTACCGTGGCATCACATTATACCAGCTGCTCACGCTATCGTCTGCATGCGAGTTTTATTGACAAAGCTACATTCGAGCGCGGTGGAGTAATGCAATGTAAAATTGACATTAGCTTATCGTGCAGCATGTAACGAGACTAATGGTCGATGTACAGCATGAAGACAAAAAAATTTCCGGTGTGTGTTGTCCCAGCAACAGCAGTTCTCCATCAATCATTCATCGGATACCTTTTTGGAAAAATGTAATCCTAATGTTAATCAGAAGAAAATTACACTCCACTTAGGCATTCGCAGACTATGCTTCTAGTTAGCATCTATCTATCTATCTATCTATCTATCTATCTATCTATCTATCTATCTATCTATCTATCTATCTATCTATCTATCTATCTATGGCGGTCCCAGACACGCAGAAAGTACACGCGATTCGCGGTAGATCTGGAGCACTACCTACATCAGGCCCGCATCGCCGTCCGCTTATATCGACGGCGTGGACTCCAGTCCCTGCGCCCCCCCACCCCCCCGACACGCGTTGAAATTTCGAAATTACAACGTTTCGGGCGAAGAACGTCGACGACTCCTGCTGCGCGGTATGACAAGCAGACATACCAACACATCCTGAGTCCTGACGATTGACGCAATGTGTTGTTTTAGCAATAACGGATGAATATCTTCTTCGTTTTATTAACCAATACAATTAATTATGAAAATTGGCCAATATTATATAAACAGTGATTTATAGCTAATACTAACTAACTAAATTAGTAAATCGACTGCTTATCCTGGTAGTGTTTGCAATTATCGAATAAGTGACACAGTGAATAGCTCGTTAATAATATACGCGTATATATTAATATATTTTTTTTAAATAATTTATTATTAATTTATATTTCTATGGTAATGCTCAGACACATTAAGTGATAACGTTCAGGTTCATTGATCCGAAGAAATGTGCCATTTGGGTTGGGTGAGTACAATTCCTCTTTCACATTCCAGAAATATATTCGCCAACTTATAAGTAATTTAACCTCTTCAATTTGTTAAAAATAAGTATGTATTTATCTAGTCCTATACATACATCTTTTTTATATTATTAAAATATTGGCGATTCTATTTTCACAATTTCAATTCGTTACAGTCTTACGGAGGATATCTTGCGCTGCAAAAGTCCGGTAAGGCCATAAAATGAATTCGCAGCGCGGCTCTATTTAAATGCGGCTGCCATACGCTCACTATTATCAAATTGGCGTTATGATACTGGTAAGTAGTCGAACAACGAACCTATTAGTAGCTCTCTTAGATAAGTACAGAGGGTATGCCATACTATGAGAAATTATACACAATGGGAACTGGAGCGTGCAACATCCGCAATTTAACTCGCAACGCCCAGTCCCAATGTGCTGGTGGGAATATGTGTGTAAACGTGTGAACTATCATCGTTATATTAGTTTATGTCTGATAAATTTAAATTGCGCATGTATCCATTAATGCACTATATAACTGATATATATATGAATAAAGATTTCATGAATTTCAGGCCAGGATAATAGAATAATACGAACAATTTAGCTAACATTTATTCACTACAATTATGTCATGAAAATAAGTATTTAACCGTCGTCTGGTCGCTAAGCTGCGCCACCCATTCAATCGCATTATAACGTTTAGCCTCCTCGTTCCCCCGATTGGCTTCAAACATCCAAGCGAACTGAATTGATAGCAAAAACTCCGGTAAAGACAGTCCAGGGGCAGGGCTCAAAAATGTAGAAGCGTGCTTGCGTAAGAAATATTAACTTCTAATATTAAAAACATCCCCAGAGAAGACGATTAACGGGGAACACTGCGACTACTTTCGCTTATATCACAATTAGGCCGGACTATGTAGCCGAGCGCAAAGGCACTAATTTCAACGCGCTCTCTGCGTCAACGACGGCATGAGCTATTACTGTTTCAAACGAGAATAAGTTGAACTCTCTTTTCTTGCGTTTACCTATACTTTTCCACACGGTATATTGGGCATAGAAGTTAACGTTAGAGTTAACTTTTTTGGAGTTTGATAGAAATCAAATATCGTATTCGTAGCTACACATTAAGCAATGTTCACCTTTTCCAGTGTTTCATCACTGGAAGGGGAGGTGCTTGTTCGGCTAATACTATTAACGAGGCTCATCCGGCGACCACGAGCTATAATGGGGAGAGTCACTACCTGGCTGGCATGTCCAAAACAGTTAATCCAGGGACTTGTTACAGCCTTCTTCTGTTCAAGTTATTATTTGTTTGTTTTTTCAGACAGCGGTTCACGTGAACGATACATGGCCCTACCAGGATGCCTGCAACAACTTACTAAGTAACGAGGTGTGTGTATGTATGTGTATTATATATGTGTGTGTGGTGTGTGTGTGTGTGCGTGTGTGTGCGTGGTGTGTCGTGCGACTGTGTGTGTGTGTGTGTGTTTGCTGTGTGTGTGTGTTATGTGTGTGTCTGTGTGCGCTGCGTGCGTCGCGTGCGTTCGCGTGCGTGCGTGCGAAAGCGGTGTGGTGTTTGTTGTTTTGTTTGGTGTTGTGTGTGTGTGTGCTGGTGTGTGTGTGCTGTGCGTCGATGCTGTGTT